TGGGCCACAAGGAAGGAGCCTGCAGACAAAGAAAATTCCTGCGAGTAGCTGTTCCTGATTAATAGCTACTCACCCATGTTTTATCGTTTACCTACGCCGTAAGGGGAAAACAGGCCACAAAGTAGGCCTTGTAAGGGTTAAAGTTAATCCTAATGTTTTTTTCCACTGTCTATTTTCTCATACCAGCTATTTTCCATAGGCATTAGCAAGTGTTCATAGCAGCATTATTTACAATAGCCAAGTACTGGAAACAGCCTAAGTGCCCATCAGTAAATGAGTGGATCAAAAAACGGTGGTACATTTACAAAATGGAATACTACACAGTAGAAAGAAAGAAGAAGCTGCTACCCTTCACCACAGCATGGATGGACCTGGAGAGCATTATGCTGAGTGAAATAAGCCAGGCGGTGAAAGACAGATACCATGTGATCTCACCTGTAAGTGGAACCTAATCAACACAACAAACAAGCGAGCAAAATAGAACCAGAGACTGGAAGTAAAGAACAAACTGACAGTGACCAGCGGGGAGGGGGGAGGGGGACAACAGGGTGGGGGAGAAGGGGAAGGGTCAAGTCAAGGAACGTGGATAAAGGACCCATGGACATGGACAGTGGGGTGGGGGGAGGATTGAATGTGGGGGGTGGGGGTGGGCAGGGCAGGGGAGAGCAATGGGGGGGGAAATGGGGCAACTGTAATTGAACAACAATAAAATTTTTTTACGAGAGACAGCTCACCTTCCAGAGACGGTTGGGCTCTCTCTTCCTTCTCTTGGGAGGGGTATGTGGAGAGGCTGTTCTTGCTTATTCCCTCTTCTCAGTCAAACCTAGTTTTCCACTCTTGTCTAGCTCATGTCTTGAATTCTTTCCTGCGCAAAGTCAGGAACCCTCTTGGCTCAGGGTTTGAGTCCGCACTAGGGCCTTGCCTCTCTAGCATCAGTTCTGCGCTGCTGTCATCCCTCGGCACTGAAGAAAATTCTAGACACTGCCCCTTGTCCTGGTTCCTGATGGGGTATGAAGAGGAGGTTTTTGTCCACTCCTGATTCCCAAAACTTGTCTGAGCGTTTTCAGATTCCTCTGCCCCTGAATTTCCCACAGTCCAAGTTGAGTACCATCTCTCCCTGTTGCACACACTCCTTTCTGACCATCTTATCTTCTCCAGGCTGAAGTATAATCTTGTCCAAGGAAAGGGAATGAATGCTGTTTTATGTGTTGTTTCATAGGTTTCATACATATAGAACTGGGCTACAGGTTTTGAGACGTTTTTTTTTTTTTTTTGAGAGAGGGGAAGGAAGGGAGAAAGAAAGGGAGAGAAACATCGATGTGTGACAGAAACATTGATCAGTTGCCACTCCCACATCCCCACCCGGGGACCTGGCTTGCCACCCAGGCATGTGCCCTGACCAAAAATAGGACCGGAGATATTTAAGTCTGTGGGACAACGCCCAACCCACTGAGGCACACTGGTCAGGGTGGAACAGCAGGTATTAATGTCAGCATAAGGGCGGTGCATCAGTAAACAGAGAAACTTAATGGTTACAATCAAATTTTAACAAAACAGTTGGGGAGTAAGAAGAAAGGGTTGATGGGAACCAGAAAATGCACCTTCATCCTCTTCTCAATATGCTGATCGAATACTCCATACAGTTTGGCTTTTCACCTAGAGTATTTGTGCAGGGAGAAGCTGAGAGAACATGAGAGCGGAAGTGCAACGGTGACAGTTCCGGTGCTCCCCTCCACTACTTCTACCACTGTTGCACTCTTGACCTTTGGCGTCAGTTCCATGACCTTTGAGGCACCTCCCACATTAGAGTACTCTGGTATTCTGTCTTTTATTTGGGGGGGGGTATCTTGGCTAATTATTTGGGAGACACTCACTTCAGGAAACACAGGAATGGGTTGCAACTGATGGAAAGATCCAGGGTTTCATACAATTGCTCTGCAACGGACTCAGAAAGGGAATTTGCAGAGGACTGCAGGAACCTGGCCTTGTCCCTGTGTCTGTGCACTCACACATGCCATTGGAAGGAAAAGGTCCCATTCATCATGATGTAATGAGCTTCCTCTTAGTTTAGCTGGACCCCTATGTACAGTTGCACAAGTTGGCCACAGCTAAAGGTCAGCTGGCCATCTGGCCAAGTGAAGCTGTAACTCACCCCTCCCTTCTCTTACCTATCTCTGCGCTCTGTTTTGGGGCTACTCAGCCCACAGGAAGAGCGCTTTTGATGAACTTGTTCAACCAGAGGGCCACCATTTTCCCAACAGATATTGAGGTGATGTGCAGAATAGCACTTGAAGCTTCTGTTTGAAATGAGAAATAATATGACAAATGGAGAAGAACTGGTTGCTGTTGGGAATGAGAATAATGGAGTAGGTGTGTGGGGGGGTGAGTGCTAAGACAGGGCGGGGTTGAGGAACACTGGGTTAAGGCACCCAGCAGTGAGGCAGGAAGGGAAAGGCGGGAAGGAGGACCATGAGGTACCTGCAGCACGTCTCCCCTGTGTCTGTGCTCACCAGGGAAGGGCAGCTTGCTGTCCCCTCTAGAGGTCTGTACCACAACTTAAAACCAAGATGCGCTCACATCAGATCTGGCCTTGTGTAAAGGAATTCTCTTGTGTATATCTTCATCCAATGTTCATCCAAATCCTTAGCTTAAAACATGTTTCTTTTACATGACTCCTTCCACTTGAGCCTTTTCCATATTTAATGTTGATTTTTTTTTTTTTTTGGTGGGGGGATAAATAACTGACTCCTGGTATCTGGTATTGTCCTAGGTCTTGCGGCATCTCAAGGGTTCCATGATATTTCCATACATGACACTTTTTTGCCAGAGCCTAGAGGTGGAGGAGCCATCTGCTGCCCCCTCAGTGTTCTGGTGCCCGTTGACACTACAGCAAAGGGTTGTGGCCAGCACCCTGAGAGCACTTCTCCTGCCCTACTGTGTGCAACAACCAATAGATGGATGGATTTCACAACGACAGTATTACTGGGAACAATACTACTAGGTCTACTTGTTGAGTGCTTATTCTGTGTCAGTGACTGTTCTGAGGCTTCCACACACAGGAGCACATGTCAGCCTCAAAGCTACCATGGGAGGATGTTTGTGTCATTCTTCTTCCCATTGGAGAGAGATTAGAAGACTGGAGCTCAGAGAGGCTCATCTGCTCCAGCTGTGTGACGGAGCCATCCACGCTGCCTCATAGGCTTGCCTGGCACTTAATGACAGATCGTCTCCATTTTGAAATAAAGGTCTGTGTCAGCGTGCACGGGAAGGGGAAGAACCAAAAAGGAGATGCCCAGGAGCTTTGTGCCCTCACAGGGCAGGACAAAGAGAGCAGACCTGGCCCCAGAGGGCCAGTTTCTGGGCTCAGGCAGAGGGCTGGATCCTCTGGTCACTGTCCTTGGGGCACTAGGTTTCTGGTTTGCAGTGACTGTCCTGACCTGCCGTGTTGTTGATTCCATTTTTATTTTCATCTTTTATGGTTACTGGTTGTGTGGAAAAACCTGGGAAGGCTCATTTGCTTTGAATCACTAGCTAATTTTGATGAGTTTGCCAGGCATAGGCAGTAGACTGTAAGTATAACCCAACTGTGTGCCATGCTTTATGAAGTCCCAATTAACTGGTCTATAACTGGAAGGCACATTGTGTCCTGGAAGCCAGGGCTTGTGTATCTGGCTTCTCTAGAAAGGCTGACAAATGCTCCAGCCTGACGGGGTCTTCCTCAGTACAGACCCCTTTTTACTGTATTTCTTCCATTACTATTGAGTCCCCCTTATGCCCCCTCCCACCCCTGCAATCACCACACTGTTGTCCACGTCCATGAGTCCTTTTTTGTTTTTGCTCAATCCCCCTACCCCCTCTTAGCTGTCATCCTATTCTCTATCTATGATTCTGTCTCCATTTTCCTTTTAGTTCAGTTTGTTCATTAGATTCCACATATGAGTGAGATCGTATGGTATTTGTCTTTAACTGCTTATTTCACTTAGCGTAATATTCCCCAGGTCCATCCACGCTGTCACACAGCACGTGGCTTCATCGGCTCATCAATACCCTTCATGACAGTGAGCTTGAAAACCTCATCTGGCTGCCACCCAGTCACTTGGTTTCCCTTGAAAGATTTGCTCACAAATAAAGTTAGTGTTGTTTAGTTTATCAGCAGATTGATGGCAAATGTTCCTCTGTAAAAGTTCTTCTCCCCTGGGTCAGGATTGGCTCACAGGCTGTAGTTTGCTCGGTTAAACTTCTGAGACAGAGCTCACAATCCGATCCACTTATCAGGTCAAATCAGGAAATGAAATTTTCTGGCCTCGTGAATGAATTCTCTCACTCATCCATGCACTCACTCATTCATTCAAGGAACAGTTATGGAGCTCATTTATACTCTGCGCCAGGTGCTGGCTGAGGAGCAGGGACACGCCCAAGAGCAAGATGGCGTCTCTGTGGCCACAGCCTGGTGGAGAGCCCACACCCACCTTTGCTCATGCCATCTTCGAAATGTGTGGGACAAAGATGAAGTGACGCAAATGTTATTTACATCTGTAAATTATATAACAGAAGATGAATTTGGGTAATCCTCAATTGAGTACAAATTTGTGACAAACTTTAAAGAAAAAACCCTAGAGTTTTCTAAGTAAAAAGAAAAATTTGTCCATTTCTCTCCCTCATTGCCCCCCAATCCTGTTCTCCAGAACTAAATGGTGTTAACAGTTTGGTGAGAATCCTTGCAGCTACCCCTCCCCGATCCATGCATACAGAAACTCACAAAAATACACTGGATATGTCTGGCTTGGGTTATATTTAAATCATTTTATAAATGACTCCCTTCCCCCCAGCAACTTCAGTTTTGAAATTTTAAAGCACAGTCAATAAATGATTTAGCAACAGTTAAGAAATCACAAGTTTCCTTCTTCCCACATAAACTTCTGCAAACCACATTCTAGGTTTCACTGATGGTAACGCGAACACTTTCAGGAAGCTGGTCGGTTTCTATTCTCTGCATGCACCTTCTGCAAGAGGGTACCACTCTGCAGTGCTGCGAGCTGGCTATGGAATGAGAAATTACAACGGCTGACAACAGAAGAGCGGTAAGCCACTTCTATTCCTTTAACAAAGCTTTCCAACAAAATATGTGATTTCTGACCCCAAAATATGGTTTGGTGGCCAAATAGTATGAACAGAGAAAGTGATGAATGAGCAAATATGCATTCAAAGGTTTACTGTTGAGCCCTGACTGGTGTGGCTCAGTGGGTGGGTGTCATCCCACAAAGCGAAAGGTTGCAGGTTCTATTCCTGTTCAGGGAATATGCCTGGGTTGCGGGTTTCGTCCCAGTCAGGGCGTGTACAAGAGGCAATCGATCGATGTTTGTCTCACATTAATATTTCTCTCCCTCTCTTTCTCCCTCCCCTCCCCTATCTCTAAAATAATTTATTTTTTAAATTTAGAAGTTTAGTATTGAAACAACTCTAAATGTAGGCAAAGTGACCTGGTATACAGAACATTTTAAAAATCAAATGCATTGGTTTTACTATTCTGGACAGGAGAAGAAGGAAGTTCCAACTTTGGAACTGAACTGGAACATTGCTTTCTGGTCCTGCCAGAAACAGCATTCTCTTCTAGAACCAAAGGGTTGGAGTGAAATGGGTACAGAGGTGTTTCTCCTTTGTTATTTCTACAGAAAAGGTCAAACTCTGTTCCCTCACATACACAAGTAACTTACTACTGCCTAGGCAAAGTCTGAAATTAACATACTGAACGGATCCTAATGTTCAACATTAATTGTTAAGTTTCTTGTTTGGAGAGTTTAAGGAACATGTTACTATTTCTAAAATTCTCTAGTGTCGAGGCATAGTAAGACATCAGTTTTTGTTATTGTCAAGAACTGCTAGATTGAAAAACAAACAATAATTTTTGAAACTACGTTTTCTGGAAAATTCAATGAGATCTAAGAACAATTGAAAAATCTGGCTTCAAGAGAAACTCATCTAAAATTTACCCTATTTTTTCCACACTCATTCAGTGCTTATTAAAGACCTTGGAGTCATTTTTTATCACCATTCAACGTATATTTAAGTTTTAAGTTAATTTTTGCATCCTTTTAGTGCCCAGTACAGATCTTGAAAGTAAATTAATTCTGCACTGACATTTTATAATGCTTTACAAAATGACTGCAATGGCTCATAAAGAATTGGGCCAACCGGGCCAATGACTTGTATGGAATGGCAATTAAAATTAATTTCTACTTGATATTTGTGAGCTGCCTTGGCTGTGTATGCATCACAGAAGGAATTGCAGAAAGTTCTGCTACCAGGCTGAACCCCAGACCAATGAAATCGGAATCTGGGAGTGAGGGTGGGACTGGGCATCGTAGCTTTCCAACTTCTCACATATCTCAATGTGCAGCCCTTCTGGCCCTTTCACTAAAGAGCACAGTCCTTTTTAGGGGATGGCAAGGCTTTGGGGAGACCTGAAACTTATTAATTCGCCCCTGGGTTTGATTTCAGCAAACAAAATAGAAGTCCTGGGTATGCTTTGTCTAAACAGCTGAGGCTGCGGATCACGGAGAGGGCAGTTGAAGATCATTCTCTCTTAAAATCAGTGCTGCTCATTCTTTCATGTAATAATCCCCAAACAGCGTGGATTTATGAGGCAGGAGGCCGCCTCGTGGAAACCCTAGACTTAGGGCATATTGGGTTGCGTCTCAGAGGGGAGGATGTCATTATTGGATGTTGGTTGTAAGTGTGTCTTATTGCCTCCTCCAGAATCTACTGAGGGGATGCTCTGGCTGGGTGGCTCAGTTGGTTGGAGTATCATGCCGTATACCAAAGGGTTGCAGTTCCAACCCCAGTCAGGGCACATACCTAGGTTGCAGGTTCGATCCCCAGTTGGGGTGTGTATGAGAGGCAACCGATTGATGTTTCTCTCCCCCATCAGTGTTTCTCTCTCCTTTCTCTCTCCTTTCTTCTGGCTCTAGGATCAATAACCATACCCTCAGGTGAGAAATTTAAAAAATTAGAAATTAAAAATTCTATTGAGAGGAATATCATTCCAGTGGAATGTATTTGAGTTCAACTGAGTTATTAAATGGAGTTGAGGGATTTGTTATTTTTAAACTATTATCCCCAATTTATGACTATTCAGGGCTATAAGGACATAGCAAATTTAAATGCATAACCCATGGCTCTGGATCAGCATTAGCAAGTAGAGGCTGTTTTGGCTTTTCAGATGGTTACAGAGAGCTGCTAGTTGATGCCTACATCTGAAATCAGTGCATTTCTAGTTGTCTGGGATTACAGAACGCTCTGTGATAAACTGATTGGCACAGAAAGGTAAGGTAGGCAATCCACCCCAGCATTTGAATCCTGAAGGTTCCAGGTGTGGCTATGATATCTCTCCGCTGATAATCAAAACCAGATCATTGCTACCCTGGGCTGGTGTGGCCCAGTGGGTTGAGCACTGACCTAAGAACCAAAAGTTCAGGGCACATGCCTGGGTTGCGGGCTGGTCGCAGTCAGGGCACATGTAAGAGGCAGCCAATTGATGTTTCTCTCCCTTTCTTTCTCCCTCCATTCTTCTCTTTCTAAAGAATAAATAAAATCTTAAAAAGGAAAAAAAACCCCAGAGCATTGCTAAGTAGCCTCTTGATTCTAGCCTCACCAATTTGTTTACTACTCAGGTACACGTCAACTAAGTTTCAACTCTGCCACCAACCATCTGAGCGACCTCGGGTAACAGCACTTCTGAGCCTCAGGTTCCATGTGTGTAAAATGAGGGCTTGCGAAAGCAGCCATCTCACTGATTTGTAGGAGGGTTGAACAAGAAAATGCATGACTTGCATTCAATGTAGTGTTTGCCTCATGGTAAAGCACTCACCAAATGCTCCTTACCATATTTCTCAAAATTCAAATGGCATAACTTTTCAAATAAAATCAAGATCCATCTGCTCATTGATTTGTGCATTTAATGTGGTAGTGGTTTCTTTCACTTCCAAAGCTGTTAATGAGTCTATCATATTCAGATACAATATGATATCTATTATTGGATAAAATAAAATATTATTCATTGTAAATTTCAGCTAAGGTGATAGATCCTATCTGTATAACCATTTATTAATTTACTTTCATAATATATCAGTGGTCAACACAGTCAACAACAAATGAATCAGCATGCATTACAAATTAGAAATATATCCAGTTTGGCAAAAATTCAGTTCTGGTTGAATTCCTCATCATGCCCAAACAGCTAAGTAATTCAGTTGGGGGGAATGAATCACATCTTATAATTGATAGGTTCTTTTCAACACTACAGCGTCGGGGGGTGTCCACAGGACCCATCCTGAGAAAGGGGTGCAGCTGGGGAGATGGGGAGGAAGCCTTGGAAAAGAGGGAAGGGAGGAGGCATAACCGCAAAATGTCTGCTTGCAACCAAGGAAAGGAGCATGAAAAAGATAAAAAGCCCTTTATTCCAGAAAGGCAGCTTCAGGCATTGGGCACCTCACCCTCGCCTTAGATTGTGTGGGAAAACCTGCAGAATTCATTTCGGCACCACGTGGCGTGGTCAGTCTTTTTGAACCCAGTCTTTTCCCTGCCTACAGCCCTCCCCCCCCCACCCCCGGGGCTAGATCCTGGGGGTGGTCCCTTGGCTCACTCTTACTCTCGGGGTTCCACAGCTAAGGCAGACTTTTCCAAGCTGTTCTTCCAACTGCACTGGTGTTTTTTCTTCTTTTTTTTTAGATTGTATTTATTTATTTTTAGAGGGGGGGGAAGGGAAGGAGTAAGAGAGGAAGAGAAACATCGAAACATCGGTTGCCTCTCATATGCACCCCAACCAGGGACTGAACCTGCAACCGAGGCTTGTGCCCAGACTGGGAATCGGACCGGTGGCCTTTTGCTTTGTGGTACAATGCCCAACCCACTGAGCCACACCATCAGGGCAACTGCACTGGTCTTTTAAAATTGTGTTTTTGGTGTTCATTGGGGTCCAAGTTGAGAAGGGAGATTTGAGTGAGGACTGAGACAGGTCATTTTCATTTTACTCTTTGGCTCCTTCCGAACCCGAAGGAGAGAACTGGCTTTTCATGTGCTGTGGACCCAACCAAAAAACTGACTCTGTGTGGAAAATAGGAAAACAGTTGTGAAATTGCTTCCTCAATAGCTAGGAACAGCTGTATTTGGCAGGGAAGGGGAAGCTAAGCAGATTTCTGTGTGTGTGATTCATATGATCTCTCAAAAGAAATGGGTCTTGGTTTTTCCTGCATGTTCCAAGGCAACACCCAGTAAAAGATCCGGACCACACAGACGCGGTCTTCGCCATCAGGGTGTTCTGTGCAGTGAGCTCACCGGCATGTCCAGACCAAGGGCTTGCTTTTGGCAGCTTGAACTTGTCTTGACAAGTGGGTCCCATGGCACAACCCTTACTTACCTGATCTCTGCTCTAACTCTGTTTCCTGCAGCTGCCGTAACGAAGTACGGCAAACTTGGTGACTCAAAACAACAGAACTTTATCCTCTCCCCCTTCTGGAGGCCAGAAGTCTGAAATCTAGGTGTGGTCAACAGGGTTGGTTGCTTCTTGGGGGCTCATAGGGAAAATCTGTTGCATGCCTTCCTCCTGGCCCCTGGTGGTGGTGGATAGTCCTTGGTGTTCCTTGGCTTGTCACTGCACCACTCCAATCTCTGCCTCCCTCTTCCTGTGGCCTTCTTTCCTGTGTTTATCTGTGTCCAAATGTCCTCCTTCTTATAAGAATATCAGTCATTGGATTAGGCCCACACACTAACCCAGTATGACCTCATTTTAACTTGATTCTATCTTCAAAGACCCTATTTCCAAATAAGGTCACGTTCACATGTACAGAGGTTAAAACTACTTCAGCATATCTTTTTGGGGGGACACAGTTCAACCTGTAACACTTTCGTGTTTTATCCTCTATTCTGCCACTTCCGTCCAATCCTAGCCCTTCACATCACCAGATCCCAACATAATACTGAATTTACTTTCCAGGAAGTATCTCCTACTTGTTTCTGGGGGACAACTTCTCCAAAGGCACAGAAAGCACAGGGCCTAGGGCCCACTTTAGGTGAAGATTTTAATGTCTTTAAAAATCGACAAAATAATGAGTATAATCCAGTATGTATTATATTCATTTTTATATTGAATACCAATGGGATCATAAAGTATAATTATTACTTTTTTAAAAATCCTCACCCAAGGATATGTTTATTGCTTTTTGAAAGAGAGGCAGGGAGAGAAAGAGAGAAACATTGATTGGTTGCCTCCTGTAGGTGCCCCGACTGGAGATGGAACCCGCAATCTAAGTTGTATCCTGAGCAGGGACCGAACCCACGACCTTTTGGTGTATGGGATGATGCTCCAACCAACTGAGCCACTTGGCCAGGGCAATTTTTACTATTTTTTTTAATGGAGGAAGGGGCCCATGGAGGCCGAAGTGACTTGGGCCCATGAACATCATAACTTGGCTCCGTTGACAACCACGTTCTATTTCCCGATATATCGTATGCCAAGGAAAATTCAGGAATTGCTCATGTGTCCCCAGTGAAGTAGATTTAAGTATTGATCCACAATCCCCTATCTGAAACCCATGGGTCAGAAGTGTGTCAAAGTTCAGAATTCGTATTTTAACAAGATAATATATTACCCTTATGACATATTACAAAACATTTCCAATGGCTCTGGGTCATGCATGTGGCTATTTCTGCTATGAAACCAGAATGCTCAAGCTAAGTGGATAACTACAGATGACAGTAGCCTTGGATCCGTTCAGATCAAGTTTTGCTGCTAAAGACATCATCATGAAAAACTAAACAAAATCTGGTGCTTAGATCTGTTGGGATTTCAAAAATGCAGAGAGGAAGTCGAGAACCTGCACAAGACAGAACCTGCCTTAATTTAAAAAACCCATAAACCACTGTCCTGGCTGCAAGAGGCCTGCCTGATGCTGCTAATTGCTGGGTCTCTGATTTTTTTTTCTTTTTCTTGTGGTAACCTCCCTGTCATACTGGGTGGCTTTCCAGGCGACTGCTCCTGGCTGTTATTTCATACTGAAGAGAGGAGCACCAGAGAGCTGATTAGAAGCTCCAGTCGCAAGGATGGGATGAGCGGCTGCGATCAGCTCTTGGCTAGGGTTTGCCAAAGTCCCCGGAGGTCTTTTCCGTGGTTCCAGTCCAGGACTAAGGTCGGACGAGTGAGGCACTCGCTTTGTGTGCAAAATGTAAGAGAGGCCGGGGGCCAAAAATCTCAGTAATCGAGATCAATAATATTTTAATGGTATATTTTTAAAAAATCAAACTGGCAGAATCGGATTGCCGGCTGGTTGCCTGTTGTAGTAAACTGAGTTTTATCGGAACCAGAACCAAGCAAGGCAGGTGGAGCGGAGCGTTGCGGGTGCAGGGCGAGTCTGTCCTTGTTTAAAATGTTGATATTTTGTCCATCAGGGATTTTGATCTCTTAAAATAGGGTTTATCTTGATGACTAAGTCTTTGGGTGTCTCCTAAAATTTTGTACTCGTAGCCCTGCAACTGTGCCTGTCTGTTTTCCCAGCGAGACCCTCCAGTCTCTTGCTCGGGGTGCTGGAGTCGGGTGTTCATAAGCCCACGGCTGTCAGAGGTCCCAGAGCCAGGCCGAAGTTGGGCTTCTGCGCTCCAGATGCAGACTGTTCTTTAAGCCTCGTGTTTTCTCTTTGGCAGTTGCCTGGGACTTCGCCTGCGCCTGGAGGTCTGAACCCAAGGCTCTGGATTCAACCTTTTGACCTCCTGAGATCGTAAGTCTCAGGGAGGGTGTCAGGAGGGTCTAACTTCTCATGAAGACTCTCATTCACTCCATCTGCCTTGCAGTTCCACCGGGCACACCACCTGCCATACCACTGCCTCCACTTCCAGAGGCTTTTCAGGCTATCACGATGTGAATGGACTTTGTTCTGGTTGACCCTGAGGCTTCTCTGCTGTGTCACCTAATCCTCAGCGGCCTCTGCTTTCCTTGTCTGCTGTGGTCTCCTCTTGTGCCATCTCTGATCTTGTTAGGGTCCTAGTCCTTTCCTGTCACTTCATTGGGAAACTTCAACTGTCAGGCTCAAATAACGGAAGTATATTCTCTCCCTCTCCCTCCCTTGTTCTCCGTTTTATTTGCATAGTTCTACTTTCTATCTTATTTGCATAATTGCCCTTTCTCCTCTATTTTTATTTGTAGGGTTGCCAATCCTCTCTCACTCTCTCTTGCACCGTTGTGATTTCTCTAATATATTTGCAGAGTTGCTCTTTCTCTTCTCCCAGGCCGGATGCTTACATCTTAATGAGAGTAAATTCTCCCCGGGTCCCTTCTCACTTTGAGGCCTGGTTTCCTCTGAAGTCTTTTTGGAGCCACGGCATTTGGTAGCCGGAGGCCTGGGTGTGGCCAAGAGGAAGAACTTGGCTGAGGAGGCGGAGTTCTTGCTGGCACCTTGAGCTTTGTGCTCTCTCTCTGTCTCTCCTCAGAGCCCGCTGCACAATACGAGTTGGGGTTCACTCTATGAATGGGGAGCCTTTGCATCCATTCCGCCTTTGTGAGGCCCTGAGGTAGATGAAGAGGCATGAACAAGAAGGGTTTTCTCTTCAACTTCTTTGATAGCTGCCTATTCGCCACCTCCTATTCCTCCCACCCATGTACTTCTCTTTAAATTGAGGTTGTTTGGAACTTGTCAACTCAAGTTCTTACCTCAGGACTCTTTCCGGAGAGTAGAGTTAGTACTCTCAAGCTCTTCACTCACAACTCTCCTCAAGAACATTCTGATCATTTCCATGGCACAACATTTACTGTAATTTTTTTTATTTACTGATTTGAGAGAGAGAGAGAAGGAAACATGGATTTGTTGTTCCACTTATTGATGCATTCATTGGTTGATTCTTGTATGTGCCCTGACTGGGGATCAAACCCACAACCTTGGCATATGAAGTTCTAACCAACTGAGCTACCTGGCCAGGACCGCAATATTTACTTTCAATTGGTGCAGACTTCCCTGGAGGCCATTTTCATCCTAAAAATACAGCGAATTTCAAAAGGCTCCCCTCCTGGTCTCTAGCACCCCATAGAGGCTGTTCTCAATTGCTCAGCATTGCATGAGAGACAATTGCATTTGAAATTAGATATTGACACCTTAACTTGAGGCTAGTGAGGCCACACAGGACGACTTTGTCCTCTGGACTTGCCGGAGTGACAGCCTAACAACATTCAAAGGGTCTGCAGTCTGGCCTCAGCTTGCCTTCTGTTCCCATGGGCCTTTTTATAATATTATAATAGGAACCTGACAAGCACTACCTCAGCCAGGCGATCAAGGTCCACATCAACTGTAGAAGTCATGTTGCTAGTAAGTGCCCTCTGTGTGCTGTGACTAGAATGACACTTTACCTGTGTGGACTTCCTTCCCGAAACCCATCACCCCCGACTAATCCTGACGAAAACATCAGACAGATTCCAACTGAGGAGCTTTCATCCCCTTTTTCACCTTTATTTTTCTCCATAGAACTTTCCACCATCTAACACGCTATCCAGTAATGTAAGCTCCAGATGGGCAGGTATTTTGTGTTTTGTTCATTGCAATATTCCCTTCTTGAAAACAGTTCCTGATCACATCAAATTTAATTAATAATATTCCCTTCCCGCTTCGCTATCTTTTGTTCTCAGTGAATGGCACTCTTATCCATCCAGATGCACAGACCAGGAACCTGGAAGTCACCTTGAATTCTTCCCTCGCCCTCACTCTCCTTCTCCCCCCGACCCCCACCATTATACATCTATCGCTGTGTCTCTCAGTTTCACCTCCTAAGTATCTCCCGAATGCACTCTATTTCCATTGCCAGCAGCTTAGCTCAGTCTGTCGTCACCTTGCTCCCGAAGCCCTGTGCCCTCCTGCCAGTGACCACTGTAGAATGAATGAGCGTCATACCGCTCTGCTTAAATCCTTCAAAGGTTTGCACTGCTCTTCAGATAAAGATCAAAATCTACTCGCATCTTTTCCTATGTTCCTGGCTGTCTTTTGTTCCCTTATATTCATGTGCTCATTAAGATGAGGACTGAAAAATGACCATTGAATGCAGTGACGATACTGAGATCCTCAGCAAAATCTCTCTTTGTCACCTCTTATGCACCATCCCAAGCCTCTCAGCCCTACCTCTTATTCCAGGTCTTACCGTTGCAAGCAGTTCTCTGCAGGTTTCAACCAGCTTTGAGGACTTGAAACCTGCTGCGCTTTGTCTCAGGTGCACCCCGTGCCGCTCTTACTTCCTGTCCAAGGCTCCCCTGGCAGCCCAGCACGGGGGTCTGAAGGAATACACTCGGGGCCTTAGCATATGCTTTGACCTCTTTCTGCCGCATACATGCCCATTCAATTTTAGAATCACAGCTCAAGTTTCATTTCTTCACGGAAATCTTCAATTCCTCTCTTTTAGGCTCTTATGCCATCACACACGTCTGTGTGTCACAGTTGAAATCTTGAAATGTGTGTCTATTTAACTCGCTAGACTGTGAGCTAACTACTCAGCTGCGTGTAATCAGATAGACTGCCCAGGCTGCTCAGTACCTAGGGAAGGACAGGGAACAATCGGGAAGTGAGCCGGAGAGGTGCGGCTCATTCAATTGGAGCGTCATCCCACAAAGCAAAAGGCCACCACTGCTTCCATTCCCCAGTCAGGGCACGTGCCTGGGTTGTGGGTTCGGTCCCCAGTCAGGGCGCATGCGGGTAGTAACTGATTGATGTTTTCCTCTCACATCGATGCTTCTGTCCCTCTCTTTCTCCCTCCCTTCCCCTCTCTCTAAAAATAAATAAATAAAATCTCTAAAAGAAGAAAAGGAATCCAGAAGTGACTTCCAAATCTAGCAATGTTCACACTTAGAAATCACGTAGGCTTATGTGTGCTGAGGTGCCAAGCAAGTCTAACATTACCAGGGTCACCTCTGAGAGAGGCTCGCATCCCCGAGCTCCAGGACCCGTTTGGAGCCCCTGTGTCTCCCAGTGGAGATGTCGAGCCTGGGACCTGTGGTGGCCTCTGCAAAACCTGCAAGTTCTCAAGCCATGAAACATCTTTTCACACATATTACCTAGACCTATTTTTTTCTCTTTCTGCATAAGAAGTAACCCCCCCCCCCCAATTTAGAGGCTTCAAATAAACCCATTTATTAGCTTCACTCTCTGTAGGCTAGAGCCTGGATAGGTGCATCTGGGCTTTCTGCTGTAGGAGGTCTCATGAGACCAAGATCCATGTGCCGGCCAAGCTGGATGGTTGCAGGGGTGTGCGACCCGCGGCCCGTGGGCCACGTACATCCCAGAGTGGCTGTGAATGCGGCCCGGCACAAAATCATACATTCACCTAAAACATGAGATTTTTTGTGATTACCCATCGCAATGTATTTAATGTGAGGCCCAAGAAAACTCTTCTTCCACTGTGGCCCAGAGATGCCAAAGAAGTCGAACACCTCTAGATTCTCGAGGCTCTGGATGAAGATCCATCTCCAAGTTCCTTCAGGTCATCAGTTTTAGTTCCTTGTGGCTGGGAGATGGGGTGTGTGTGGGGGGGACATTTCCTTGTCAGCTGTCAGCAGGGAGCCCCTTGTCAGTGGCCACCTCCATCTTCAAGTCAGCGGTATTGCCTCAAAGCTTTCCCCTGCCGCCAATCTCTCTGACTCTCCCTTCTGCTACTGGCAGGAGGAAACGCTCCGCTTTCAAAGGTGCGTATAATTAAACCAGACCCATCTAGATCATCCCCCTTTTGCCATATAATGACACATAATTACAAGAGAAGCACCAGGGGGTGAAAGTCATAGAGGCCATGTTAAAATTCTGCCTACAACACCAGGTAGAGCAGGGCTGGCTTGCTTTCTTCTTCTTTTTAAAAAGATTTTATTTATTTATTTTTAGAGAGAGGGGAAGGGAGGGAGGAAGAGGGAGAGAAACATCAATGCACGGATGTGCGAGAGATAGATCGATCAGTTGCCTCTCATGCGCCCCCAACTGGGGACCTGGCCCACAACCCAAGCATGTGCCCTGACTGGGAATCGAACTGGTGACCTTCTGGTTCGCAGGTTGGCACTCAATCCACTGAGCCACACCAGTCAGGGCTTTTAGTAAAAGTTAAACATTAAGAAGCAGTACCTAGATACTGCTGTAGTTGAAAATTACTAAAAGTAACTGAAAATGCCTGGGAATTCTGTTCCACTTGAATTTTCAAAAAAGCAAGGAGCTTGCTTTTTTCTTGCCTTTTATAAGTGGGCAATAATTATTGCTCCTCAAATAATCAACATCCTTATAAATACCTTTTATAATATGGTAAAGGTATGGGAGAGACTGTTAAGTTCACCGACCCCAAACTTTGCAAGAATTTAGAAAAAAGCACTTACCTGGTTCAACTCACAGTGAGGACATGAGTTGGGCTTTAGCGAGAAATACAGTTTCATTGGTAACCATACCCAGCGAGATAAGATTTCGAGAGTTCTTTTGACCACGACCCTTGGTCAAACCAATCTCATTAAACTATTTATTGCATTTTATAATTTCCAAAAGTAATATAGTCAGTCCTCTATTAACAAAGCACAAAAAGTAAGGCACACTAAGTGTTACAGATGGTACATAAAAATATAAAACATTGTGTTTTTTCCTACAGAAGTTTACAACATTAACAACAGGACCGCTTCTAATACCAATGTTTCTGTGATAAGCAACATATGACTAGGAGCCATTTCTCAAAAAAAAAAAAAAATTTTTTTAAGATTTTATTTTTAGAGAGAGGGGAAGGGAGAATGAGAGGGAAAGAAAACATCAATTAGTTGCCTCTTGCACACACCCTGACCGAGGACCAAACCGGTAACCCAGGCATGTGCCCTGACTGGGAATTGAACTGGCGACTTTTTGCTTTGTGGGATGACATGCGACCAACTGAGCCACACTGGCAGGTCCCACAAAATTTTCTGAGTGCTATCTATATTTAAGGCATTGTTCTGGCAGGAAGATTTCAAAATGAGATTGTGTAGCATGAGGAGAAAAAGGAAGCCTCATGTGTCGTTGGTGGGAATGCAAACTGATGCAGCGACTGTGGAAAGCAGTACAGAGTTACCTCAGAAAATTAAAACTGGAACTGCCTTTTGACCTGGCAATTCCACTGCTGGGAGTATATCCAAGAAATCCAAAACACTAATTTGAAACAATATATGCACCCCTATGTTCATTGAAGCATTATTTACAATAGCCAAGATGTATGAATTAAGAAGCTGTGGTACATTTACACAATGTAATACTACTTGGCTGTAAAAAAAAAAAGAAAGAAAGAAAGAAAGAAAAATCTTGTCCTTTGCACACGGCATGGATGGACCTGGGAAATATTATGCTAAGTGAAATAAGGCAGGCAGAGAAAGACAAATGTCATATGATCTCATTTATATTGGAATTTAATGAACAAAATAAATGAACAAGCAAAATAGAGACAGACTCATAGAAATAGAGAACAGACTGGCAACTCTCAGAGGGGAAAGGTGTTGGGGGCTGGGTGAAAAAGGTGAAGGGATTAAACAAGGAAAAAAAAACACCTCCTAGACACAGACAACAGTATGGCGCTGAGCAGACGGAAGGGGGGTGGGGATGGGGGAAGAGGGTAAAAGGAGGGTAAATGGCAATGGAAGGAGACTTGGCTTGGGGCGGTGAACACACAATACAATATACAGATGGTGTGTTATAGAACTGTGCACCTGAAACTATATAATTTTATAAACCAATGCCACCCCGATAAATTCAATTGAAAGGATGTTGGAATCAGATTGGCTCAAGTCCCAGCTCTACAATGTATCACCCTTCTGAAAGTTGCTTAAATCTGAGCTTGTTTCTTCACTTCCAAAATACGGATAATAATAGAATCAATCTTGCTGTGTTGTTGTGAGATTGATGTCTGCGAGAAAATGTTTGGCACAATAACTGATACTTTGTTATTATTATCAACAAAAAGTATCCACTTTCTTGTCATATAAGGAGATAAGAGAACTTGACATTACCACTGCGGTGGTGTAGAAAAAATTGTGGGAAATGCCAATAATCAGATATGGTTGTATAGATAAGGTAGAGATAACTCTGGCCTGAAGGTCATGAATAATACTGTAATATAAGCTGGACCTCAACTCTCCTTGAGACTGGCCAAAGTTTCATCAAGATTTATATTGCCCTGGCTGGGTGGCTCAGTTGGTTGGAGCATTGTCCTATACACCAAAAACGTTGCAGGTTTGATCCCCAGTCAGAGCACACGCCTAGCTTGTGGGTTCGATCCTCAGTTGGGGTGCATGCAGGCAGCATCTGATCAGTGTTTCTCTCCGTCCCCCCATCTCGAAATCAATAAACATATCCTTGGACGAGGACTAAAGAGGAAAAATAAAAGTTATGCTACCAGGCCGAAACTGTAGCTTGCTGTGCCAGAGATCTATGAACCATACCAAAAGCTCCCCAGGTTTCCTCCTCATCGTCATCTCAGACAGCTCCACCTTCAACTCCTTTTAGCACCATGAAGCTGAACACGGTGAAAACTTAAAGCGGTTCTGCATGTCATTTAACGTAATTTATTTAACTTTTAAGTGAACTCCCACTTTAGAGCTCATAGAAAGTATGGTGAAGCACTGTTGGTCACATCTTGAAAGGCCTGGCCGATATTGCTGCTCTAACATTGTGCCTCCGCTTTTTACTTTCCTTAGGAAAATATGACCCTTCAGCCGTTGCTTCTGACCTGCCTTTTCCTGCTCATCCCTGATTCCTGGGAGTTCTTCACTGCAGCAGATTATTACAGAAGAAGCTATCCTTGCGATGAGAAAACCCAAGGTGCCTCTGTTATTGCAGAGTGCAACAGTCGTCGGCTGCAGGAAGTTCCCCAAACTGTGGGCCAGGATGTCACCGAGCTAGACCTGTCTGATAATTTAATCACACGCATAACGAATGAATCATTTCAAGGGCTGCAGAATCTTACTACACTCAATCTGAACCGCAATGCCATGCTACAGCCCTACTGGGAAAATTATTATATAAATAAAAAAGGCATGATTATTACAGACGGAGCGTTCCTCAACTTGCAAAACCTAACGGTGTTACTACTTGAAAACAACCAATTAGACAAGATACCATCTGATTTGCCAGGGTCTTTGAGAACGCTTAGTCTAATAGAAAACAACATCATTTCTGTAACAAAAAACGACACTTGCGGACTGAAGAATTTGGAAAATCTCAATTTGGGCTGGAACTGCTATTATGGCAATGTCTGTAATAAAACTTTTGAAATAGAAAAAGGAGCATTCAAAGAGATTACAAACTTGAAGGTACTAATACTATCTTTTAGTAACCTTTCTCGCGTACCCCTCCACCTGCCCAGCTCCTTAACGGAACTTTATCTTAGCAACACCAATATCAACAACATCGGTGAAAAAGACTTCGAGAAACTGGAAAATTTGAAACTCCTAGATTTAAGTGGGAACTGTCCACGGTGTTTCAACGCACCATTTCCCTGTACACCTTGTGCAGGAGATGCTTCCATTTACATACCTCCTAACGCTTTCGATAAGTTGACCAAACTCAAATACCTCAACCTCTCTAGCACTTCCCTCCGGAAGATTCATGCGAGCTGGTTTGACAAGATGCCTCATCTGAAGGAGCTGCATCTTGAATTCAACTACTTGGTACAAGAAATAGCCTCTGGGGAGTTTTTAACAAAACTGCCCAACTTAGAAATACTTGACTTATCTTATAACTATGTAAAGACAGAATATCCAAAGCGAGTTAATCTTTCTCCAAACTTCTCTAATCTTACATCTCTCCGGGCATTGCACTTGAAAGGTTATGTGTTCCAGGAACTTGTAGATGAAGACCTCCAGCCCCTGATGAATCTCACAAAATTAACGACTATCAACTTGGGCATTAACTTCATTAAGCAAATTAGTTTTAATGTTTTCCGACGTATCCCCAACCTGAAAGTTATCTACTTGTCAGCAAACAGAATATCGCCCTTGGTAGATGATATTAGGTCAAGTTCTGCAAATTTCTCCATTGTCCAAAATCATGTCCTTAAACCACGCTCAGCAGATGGTGACTTTGACCCACATTCAAATTTTTATCACAGCACCAAACCTTTAATGAAGCCACAATGTACACATTATGGCAAAGCCATAGATTTAAGCTTGAACAATATTTTCTTCATTGGGCAAAAGCAATTTGAAGCTTTTCCTAACATTTCCTGCTTAAATCTGTCTTCAAATGGCAATGGTCAAGCATTAAATGGAAGTGAATTTTCAGCTCTGCCTCACATCAAATATTTGGATTTAACAAACAATAAACTGGACTTTGATTTTGATAGTACTTTCAATGAATTGCCTGAGTTAGAAGTTCTAGATCTCAGCTACAATGCCCACTATTTCCAAATAGCAGGGGTAACGCACCGTTTAGGATTTATTAAAAATTTAACAAAGCTGCAAGTTTTAAATCTGAGCCACAACGACATTTATACCTTAACAGAGTACAACTTGAGTAGCGTGTCCCTGAAAGAATTAGTTTTCAGTGGAAACCGCCTTAATGTTTTGTGGAATGGTGAAGATAAGAGGTATGTGAACATTTTTAGAAATCTCAAAAACCTAACACGGCTTGATTTATCCTTTAATAATCTTGTGCACATCCCAAATAAAGCATTCATTAATTTGCCCTGGAATCTCACTGAACTATATTTAAATGATAATAAGTTAACTTTCTTTAACTGGACATTACTCCAGAACTTTTCTTATCTCTACTTGCTTGACTTAAGTAGAAACCACCTATATTACTTAGCTTATAGCCTATTTAAATTTGCGAAATCTCTTAAGATGCTACTACTGAGTGAAAACAGGATTTTCCACCTGCCCCCTGGCTTGCTTTCAGAAAACAGCAGTCTGGTATACCTTGATTTAAGTTTCAACCTGCTAAAAACGATCAACAGGTCCACGCTTGAAGTGAAGGACGAGAATACCACCTTAGCCCTTTTGAAACTGGATGGAAACCCTTTTGACTGTACCTGTGACTTGGGAGATTTTCGAAGATGGCTGGATGAAAATGTCAATGTTGTGATACCAAGACTGACGGATGTCATTTGTGCCAGTCCTGGGGATCAAAGAGGGAAGAGCGTTATGACTCTAGAGCTAACTACATGTGTTTCAGACACCACTGCAGCCGTGTTATGTATCTTCACATCCTTCATCACCATTGTGGTTATGTTGGCTGCCCTGGCTCATCACTGGTTTTACTGGGATGTCTGGTTTATCTATCATGTGTGTTTAGCTAAGGTAAAAGGCTACAGGTCTCTTTCCACATCCCAAACTTTCTATGATGCTTATGTTTCTTATGACACCAAAGACACCTCTGTTACTGACTGGGTGATCAATGAGCTGCGCTTCCACCTCGAAGAGAGTGAGGACAAAAATGTGCTCCTCTGTTTAGAGGAGAGGGATTGGGACCCGGGATTAGCCATCATTGATAACCTCATGCAGAGCATCAACCAAAGCAAGAAAACAATCTTCGTTTTAACCCGAAAGTATGCAAAAAGCTGGAGCTTTAAAACAGCATTCTACCTGGCCTTGCAGAGGCTAATGGATGAAAATATGGATGTGATTGTATTTATTCTGCTAGAGCCAGTGTTACAGCACTCTCAGTATTTGAGGCTGCGGCAGAGAATCTGCAAGAGCTCCATCCTCCAATGGCCTGAAAACCCCAAGGCGGAAGGCTTGTTCTGGCAAAGTCTGAAAAACGTGGTCTTAACTGAAAATGATTCACGGTATAACAATTTGTACGTTGATTCCATTAAGCAATACTAACTGATGTTAAGTCATGGTTTCCCAACAAAATACAAAGGCAAAGCAATGACCCTCCTGCCTTAGTAATCTATTGCTATATAACAAATTACTCCAAAACTATCCATAGTCTCTGTGGGTCGGGAGTGTTGTACGGCTTAGCTAGGTCCTCTGCTTGGGGTCTCTCAAAAGCTGCCACCTAGGCATTAGCCAGGGCCACGGGCATTTCCTGGGGTTAGGTTGCAGTCTTCGAGAGACCCCAAGCTCACACTCACGTTGTTGTTCTCAAGACTTGGTTCATTCTGGACTGCTGGTCAAAAGCTGCTGTCAGTTCTCGCCCACATGGACCTCTCCCACATGGCAGCTGGCTTCATCAAAGAGTTTGCTGGCAAGGCAGAAGTCACCATCTTTTGTAATCCAGTCCAGGAAGTGACACCCCATTACTTTGGCCATATTCTGTTTGTTAGAAGTAAATCACAGGTCCCACCAGCTCGGTGAGAATGATCACCTCAGTCGGAGAAACTTGTCTGTGACCAAGATATGGATGGCTGTGATGGCCTCAGTTAGAGACTGTGACAATCAGGAGGCGAGGATCACTTGAGGAAACTGAGCAGCGGCCTACTCCACCTTCTTTTCAATACCTAAGAACTCTTGAAACCAATGACTAGTTTTGATGTTAAGATGCTGTTTAGATTTATCATACATCCATGGCTACACGATTGTATTATGCTGTGGTTATGTTAGTCTGTCTTTTAGAGTTACTTTTGTAAATATTGGCTATAATATTTGACTTCTAAGGTTTAGATGCCATTTAAAGGCTGAGGTAGATCGTTTTTAAGTGGTTTAGTTTTTTACTCCTTAACCATTTGTTTTCTAGAGTATGCAGCTGAATGAGAGCATTTGGAGTATCTGTTCATTGTCATTGCTGTAATTGTTGAAGAATTAAAAATGCTTCATTTCACATGATGAGCATATGCTAAATATACAGTAGGGAAATAGATCTGTAATAGAAATGAAATTGCCATCTACACTGGGATTTTTGAGAATACTTTAAAAAAATCTTTGGTAGAAATCAAAGGGCAAACAGTTTTCCTGAAATTTGTACATTCTGATCATTATTAACAGGAAAATTAATTCTCACTTTACTCCCTACTCAGAAGACATGAAGTCGAAATGCTTACCTGTTGGCCCCTCTTCTGTTTTTCTCCCAAATGAAACAACCGTGGCCCTGCCCACCACCTCTCCCAGCCCCTTGGCTGCTGTGCGTCCACAGCATCCTCTCTCTAGTGTAGGTGTGAATCCTGGAGAGACATCTTATGGAATTTGCCTGAGGATACCTGGAAATTATCCAGGCATAGGAAAACAAAGTCCCTTCGGAATGAAAAGAAGGAAAAAATCTCCAATGCACCTCACTTTGTCAGCTCACTTGGGTCCTCTGCTTTTGTCTTGGAGCTGTGCAAGATTTGCCAAATCCCTGTTCAGCACGGATCTCTGTTGGCCTCTATTTAAAATAAAAACAAAAAACAAGCCCTCCCCCTGCCCCTCCCCGAACTATAGGTATTGAAATGCTCAGTTCTGTTCATGGCAAAGGAACTGAGTGACTCCGGGCAAATCACTGCACATTTCTGAGCATACTTCCTCATTTGGGGAATGGACTAAGTGATCTCCAAGGTGTTTTCAAATATTACAGCTGTATTCGTTTCCTAGCGCTGCCATGACAAAGTAGCACAAACTGGGCGGCTTAAAACAACAGATAATTTTTGTCTTAGTTCTGGAGGCTGGAAGGCTGAAGTCCCAGTGTCTGCCGGGCTCCTAGCCCTCTAAGGCCTTCCTTGCTTCTCCTGATTTCCGGTGTTCGATGGCAATCCTTGGTGCGCCTCAGCTTGCAGAAGCATTGCTGTACTCTCTGCCTTCATTTTCACGCGGTTGTCTTCCCTCTCTGTCTCCCCTGTATGTCTTTCTCTTCTCTTCTGTTAAGTTTATTTTTAAAAAGATTTCCTTTACTTATTTTTAGAGAGGGGAAGGGAGAGGGAGAGAAACATCAGTGTGTGGTTGCCTCTCATGCCCCCGCCCCCTGCCACTGGGGACCTGGGCTGCAACCCAGGCATGTGCCTTGACTGGGAATCGAACGGGCGACCCTTCGGATTGCAGGCTGGCGCTCAATCCACTGAGCCACGTCAGCCGTGGCTCTCTCTCTCTTCTTATAAGGACACCAGTCATATTAGGTTAAGGGTCCATCCCACTGCAGCATGACTTCATTTTAACCAATTACATCTGCAACAGCCCTATTTCCAAACGAGATCACACTGGGAGGTTAGAACTTCAACATAAAATTTGGTAGAGGGGGGCAGGGGTAGCATACAGTTCAACCCATAACAACAACCATGGCTTTTCTTTAGAAATTACTCAGAAGTCCATGAAAGTGGAAAATGCCCTTGTGAACGGGAAAGTCATTTATGTTTGTTATACGAGTAAAGGCAGTTCCCCTCTCAGCTATTAATAAAGCTGTTAGAGCGATGTGGCCAGGTTTCCACTGTCATCATCCTTGTACTTAAAACCATAATAAGTATCCATTATTTCCAGTGAGTACAAAAGAAGGTCACACAATTGTGTTCTCTTCCTTTCCGCCCTCGAGTGTTTTCAGGGAACTGGGGAATTGGTAAAGCCCTGTGTCTCAGCAATCACGTTGTCGTCTTACAGGAACAAGGCAAGGGGTAGCTGTGTTTTGAACCTGAAGGGGACATGTCAGGACTTCCTGTGCCAATGACCCAAAATGGAAAATGGTCTTTATAAATGTCCCTCCAGTGTGCAAAGGGAGGAGGCTAGATTTAAAATTCTTAAGATATTAACAAAAACAAAAACAAGACCCCCACTTGTGATAGCAGAATATTGCCATTGGGACACCGTTGATTATCAGAGCCTTATTTCTTTTCTGGTGAAAAATGCACTTCTAGGAGCAGGGAGAAAAGAGCCTTCTGTTTTATCTTCCCAGCCTTCTTCCTCTTTGACATTATACAGGCACTGGTTTAGGGATAACTCCACAGTTATCTCAGCAATGATAGCACCAGAAGCTCAGAGGGGACAGAGAATAATGTCTATGTTGGCAAGAAGAGCCAGAATCCTCAGGCTCTTTGTTGACTTTTCCTTCTCCTTCACGACCATTCAGCAAGCGCTCCTGATTTGACCTAAATTTCTCTCACATCCATCCTCCATCTCCACCTCCATTATCAAACCCCCTTGTCCAAACTACCAGCATCACTCATTGGCTTCCTGGTACCCACTCCAGTCCCTCCAATTCAGTTCTAGCAACCAGAGTCATTCTTATAAAAGATGTGACTTCTGAATTCAGTTTAAAATGTCAACTCCTGAACTAGGCTCACAAGGCCCCGCTGCGACCTCCCATTTGCCTGGCAGTGGTTCCCTAACTGGCTTGTATTACCTGAGGGGCTTATTAAGCACAGCTTGAGACAAGCCTGAGAATGTGCATCTCTAATGAGTTCCCAGGTGATGCTGATGGTGCTGGCTGGGAGCACCTTTTGAGGTATGTACCCTGGACGGGAATTAAACCAACGACCTTTTGGTTTGCAGGCCCGCACTCAACACACTGAGCCACACTAGACAGAGCTATTTGCTCTGTCTTGATCATAGTAGATTTATCTCCCTCGCCAAGAAGACTGTAAATTCCTTGATGGCAGTGGCCACAATTTATTTGTACCTGGCCCTCACAGTGCCAAGCACAGTGCACCTTAGGAAATGTTTAAGAAATGTTTGTGCCATAAAATTCTGGAAAGCAATCTAAGAAATATGTTTATCATATCAATAATACACATATTAACCTTTCTAGAGATTTCTATGATTTGTTCACTGATGGCAATATATTAAGACCAAATGAATGTCTTTCTAAGGCTGTCCATTGGAGCAATGTTGAGGGGATATCGTTTGAACGAAACACCTTCTGAACGGCTCTTAAACTGCAACAGCTTGGCTTCTTCCAGTCTTCCTGTTCCTCCAACTCCCAGAGACATCTTTGCACATACGCTTCCCGCTTCCAGTGGCCTGCAGTTTAAAGTTGGGCTGATCTGAACACAGGATCGTCATTTTGTAATCACGGAATATGAAACATTACAAAAGAAACACTCGTTGAAGAGTCCCATGAACTCGTCCAAAGATGAAGTACACTACTAGATGAGTACCTCTCCCTATTGTCATTACTCAGTCTGATATATTTAAGGGGAACATTCTTTCGGCCTCCAGGATTGTTAGGGAAATAGGGAGCAACAGCGCGAGATGGGTACAGATGCATTCTATCACCGCGCTGTGAGAAAGCTTCCAATGCTTTCTAAAGAGTCAACACCAGCTACTGCAGGTAGGTGGCAGCAACAGTCCACCTAAGGCGTTGGTTTTAGCTCGCCAGTTGGGCGGGGGCGCGGGGGGAGGCATCCTCTTTGTTTACTGAGAAACCTGGCTTCTCTCGGGCCAGCAGACCGAAAGCCGCCTCCAACCCACACAACAGCAGCCTCGGAGCAAACGTGTGGAAAGTACGAGTTGATAAAAGCTGGATCCAGCGCAAATCAGAGAGTGGGCTCTGTCTCATAAAAAGAGAGGTTGGGCAGAGGAACCTAACCCTAGGCAGTTTGTCCAGCAGTGTCTAGGTTTAATCCACTTAGACACGAACCTGTAAACTCAAGTGGAAGTTTTTTATTGGCTCCTGGTGATGTCACGCGAGGCTGGGAGAACTGGTTTTCTATGTGTGGGGCTTCTTTATTCCCTGAAACATCTTCCAGAAAACAAGCCCTGAGGCCTCTCACCCCCGCCCAGCAGGGGCCTCCACTTGTAACTGGATACTAAGCCTTTCCCAAACAGACTCTTTAGAAACAACAACCCCCCCACCCCCAAGAAAAAGACATGTAAAGTAGACGCACCGACGGTAACCTAGGCAGCGGTAGTTCTCACCTTGGCTGCGCCCGGAAATCACCTGAGAGTTTAAATGTGCACTTACAGACGCCGGGCCCCACCCAAGAGAT